TTTTTTTTTTTGTTTTTAATACTGAACAATATCTTTTAAAAAGTTAGATCCTTTGGGTACTTACTGAAGTAGATTAATACATTAAGTCTGGATTCAAATTCTAAATAAGTTGATGAATACACATAATTATATTCTACGTGCCTTAAATCAGGTTATTCATTTTCTTCGGAATTGAGCTGCAATCCATCTTTCCACTTTGTCTAATTTCACTTACCAAGAGTGATAAAAGCCTGGAGGAATAAGCCAGTTTGAGGTCACCTTTATCAACAGCTACCTTATCTTTGCAGCCACAAGTGGATTTCTTAGACCAGCACTGTTCAATAGAAATGTAATGTAAGCCATATAATTTATAATGTTCTACTTTCCATAGTTAAAAAAAAATTTTTTATGTCCATTTATTTTTTAGAGAGACAGAGTGTGAGTGGGGAGAGGGGCAGAGAGAGAGGGAGACACAGTATCCGAAGCAGGGCTTCCAGGCTCTGAGCTGTCAGCACAGAGCCCTATGCGAGCCTCAAACCCACCAACCGCGAGGTCATGACCTGAGCCGAAGTCGGACACCCAACCTACTGAGCCACGCATGCGTCCCTCTACTTCCCATATTTAAAAGAATTAAAAACCGGGGCGTCCGGGCAGCTCATTCGGTTAAGCATTGACTTCAGCTCAGGTCATGATCTCACAGCTCGTGAGCTCAAGCCCTATGTCGGGCTCTGTGCTGACAGCTCAGAGCCTGGAGCCTGCTTCAAATTCTGGGTCTCTGCCTCTCTCTGCCCCTACCCTGCTCATGCTGTTTCTCTCTCTCTCTCTCTCTCTCTCAAAACTAAATAAACATTAAAAAAATTAACAACAAATGAAACTAGTTTCATGATATATACAATATATTTTATTTAATGTAGCCAAAATATTATTTCAACATGGAATCAATTTTTAAATTATTGAGATATTTTGCATGTTTTTCCACTAAGTCTTCTAAATTTTCTGTATTTTGCACTTCGAGCACATCTCAATTTGAACTAGCTACTTTTTAAGTGCTCAGTAGCCTCTGTGTGGCTAGCAGCTACCACATTGAACAGCACAGTGTTAACAGCGTGTGTGTAAGGAGGCAGCTGGAAGTGAGGCTGCAGTAGCAAAGCTTTTATCTATTAAAGCGGGATCGGAAGCTTTATCCTGAAGGCTGTGGGAACCGTCAAAGGATCTCAGAGAAGTGTTTTTCGTTTTGAACTTAATCTGGTGGTCTCAGAGAATTTAAAGATTCAGGAGTTGGGGGCTCAAGCCAGAAGCATGCTAGGAGGCTGTTGTTGTCTAAGTGAGTGATGGGAGCCCGAACTGAAACACAGGGAACACAGACCAAAGGAAGTGTGTCTGAGAGGGGGAGGAGGTAAAATCATCAGAATTTGGCGGTGACTCCTGGACCTGCAATCTAGGATGCTTTTCAGGTTTCTCCCTTGGAGAGTTGGGCCAAAAGTAGTAGTGGAGGGAAGGCAGGTTGTGAGGGGGAGAGGAGTTCAGCATGAGTCATGTTCACTTTGAGGTGTCTTTGGAACAGACGGGTAGATAGGCCTAGGGTGACATGCAAGAGTTTATACAACAGAATGTGTAGCCTTAGAAGCTAGAAAGGCTGGGTAGGAACAATCAATACTTAAGGTGCCAATGAAAACTTTAGGCAATAACAAGAATGGGATATAAGGCGGAGGTCATCAAGGACAGCTTTATAGAAAAGGTGGGATTTGAGCAGAGTCTTAAAGAATGGGTAGGATTCAGAAAGTCAAAGAAGAGACAGCAGAAATGTAGAGAGGTAAGAAAGTATGAGATGTGTTTAAGCAACACTATTTGAATAAACCTGTCCTGCTGGGCCAGATGGGATTAGGGCTGAGATCAAAGCCAGCCTAATGCAGTTTGCAGACTGGCATGGGGTTGGATCCTGCTGTGTTGTAAATTTAAGGTAGGTGCCAACATTTCCACAAAAAATTTCTGACTTCCCTTTAAAATAAAAGGGGGCTTGGAGTATGTGTTCCCTCTCTCCAGGAAGTCTCTTTCACTCCTTTTTGCTACTTGCCTGAGTCCTGTAGATATTTGAGTTTTCTGCTTTTGAGTCAAGGATCAATAGGTAATGAAGGCACAAAGACGACTGGTGACAGGTTATGAAGGGCTTTTATTTTTTTTATTTTTTTTTT